CAGCATGAATAAATAATAGTAGATTGTATCAACATGGATAAATCTCAAAATATATTGTTGAGACTAAAAAAATAAAGTTCCAAAATGCATGTAAATTTTGAAAAGCACAGAAAGTTCCTTTACAGAGGTGAAAGTTTTTAAACTTAGGAAGAAATGTTACCCACCAATGACAGAAGATTGTTTATCTGTGATGCCGGAGCACAATAGATGTGCAACATTTCACTTTTTAAAATAAATATTTCATAATACCCATTAAGATGGCTATTATCAAAATCAGGAGATAAAGAATGTTGGTGAGGGCGTGGAGAGAAGAGAGCCTTTGTACACTGTGTCTGGGACTATTTCTGCAGCCATTATGAAAAACAGTATGGAGATTCCTAAAGAAATTAAAAATAGAACTATCATGTGACTCAGGAATCCCTCCGGAAAGGAAATCGTCACCTCATAAAGATACCTGCACTCCTATGTCTCCTGTGTTCATTGCAACACTATTCACCATAGCCAGCATGTGGAAACAACCTAATCAACAGACGGAGGCATAAAGAAAATGCAGTATACACACACAGTGAGATGTTATTCAGCCTTCAAGAAGAAGGAGATGCTGTCATTGGCCGCATGGATGAAGCTGGAGGACATTGAACTAAATGAAACAAGTGAGACACAGAAAAAAAACATATTGCATGATCACATGTATATGTAGAATCTAAAAAAATAAGAATCAAATATACAGAGAAAGGATTCAAATAATGGTTATCTGCAGAGGGGGTTGGAGTGAGGGTTGGGAGACACAGGTTAGAACTTATAATCGAGCAGATGCAGGATGAAATTTAATGTACCTTATTATAGTTAATTAAATTACACTAAATTGGGGATTTCTGCTAGACGACTAGATTTAGCTGTTCATGTCACAAAGACAATGCATAACTATGTGAGATTATGGATATGTTATTTTACTTCACTATGGTAACCATTTTACTATGTATATGAATCACATATTAGCATGCGATATACTCAATAAAATTTATTTTTAAAAATAAATAAAAATAAATTTTAGAAAATAGATCTAAAATTAATGTAATAAAATGATAATAGTTGTAAAATTTGCACGGTAGGCACATGGGCATTAGATATATCATTCTAGTACTTTCCTGGATTTTTCAAATATCACTCAATTTAAAGTTATTCCTAATCTTTTACGAGAATTCACTCTCTAGAGTTAGCCACCCCCTTGTACTTGGCGTTCTGCTGTGATGTTTGCCCTTCATTGAAATATGAGGTGTTTTGTTTTGTTTTGTTTTTTTGAGATGGAGTCTTGCTCTGTCACCCAGGCTGGAGTACAGTGGTGGAATCTTGGCTCACCACAACCTCCGCCTCCCAGGTTCAAGTGCTTCTCCTGCCTCAGCCTCCCAAGTAGCTGAGATTACAGGCATGTGCCACCACGTCCAGCTAATTTTTGTATTTTTAGTAGAGATGGTGTTTCACCCTGTTGACCAGGCTGGTCTTGAACTCCTGACCTCAGGCAATCCACCTGCCTTAGCCTCCCAAAGTGCTAGGATTACATAAATATGTAAGTAATCCTGCCTAAATATGAGGATTTTTTTTTTTTTTTTTTTTTGAGACGGAGTTTCGCTCTTGCTACCCAGGCTGGAGTGCAATGGCGCAATCTCGGCTCACCGCAACCTCTACCTCCTGGGTTCAGGCAATTCTCCTGCCTCAGCCTCCTGAGTAGCTGGGATTACAGGCACATACCACCATGCCTAGCTAATTTTTTGTATTTTTAGTAGAGACGGGGTTTCACTATGTTGGCCAGGATGGTCTCGAGCTCTTGACCTCGTGATCCACCCGCCTCGGCCTCCCAAAGTGCTGGGATTACAGGAGTGAGCCATCGCGCCTGGCCATATGAGGATATTTTTAATTGACATTATGTCTGAGCAGTTTTTGCCAATCACTTATCTGCCACTAATTCTGCCAATCCATGTCTTGTGCCTGCTTTAGGTATTTAGTAAATATATTTAAAAATACACAAGGCAACGAAACATATATATAAGGATTTTCAATTTAGTTCCATTTATGAAAGAAAAAAATTGGAAATAATATCTATGAGAAGATTACCAAGACAAATGTGAAAAAGAGAAAGTTACATCAAAAAACACACTATGTGTTAAATTATCTTAAGGCTGTCCACACAAAGGATCTCAGCGGAAACTCCCTGGTAGGGGGCAGAATTGGGGCATCATCCAGGAGTCCAAGGAGCATGACCTCACTGTTATCACTTACATATTTATGAGAATATACCTTTAGAAAATATTTACATATATTTTAAAAGATTAAATTGACATCTGAAATGTATCCCTGTTAATCAAATACGAGGGGAGTAAGGGAATTTTTTATTACGTCTGCTCCTCTGTGCGATGAACTTGCCTTTGTGACGGTCCCCATCTGACAACACCCTGGCCTGGCTGAGGTTGTCCCCCATCTTGCTCTGAAGCAGCAGCAGCCTGAACCTTGGAGACTATGGGGAGCGTGCCGGGCCTTTGGGCTAGAGTCTTGGGACAGTCCCAGAGCCTTGCGGGACTTCTATGCAGCAGCTGGACTAGTGGGATTGAGAAAGGAATGCTACAGGGTGGTTGCAGGATTATAGAAAATTCCAGGCAGTAGTTTTCCATGACTAGCAAAAGGAAACTGTTGAAATAGCTGCAGAAGCCAGGGGCTGATAATACCCTGGAAACCAGGATGTGGACCAAGCTGGCTAAAACTGCCTGGACCCAACGTGGCACACTAGATTTGACCTAAATTTCACCTAGGCCTTCATTATGTGCTCATTAATATACTAAACACACGCCCACCAGCACCATGGAGCTCCAGAAACACCCATATTTGATGTAAAAATGGGTGGCACATCGGTCTAAGAAATCTCCATCTTTTTCCAGGAATTTTCGTGAATATTCCACCCCTTGGTTAAAGAAACCCAGAAAGGTCGGAGCACCAAACCCCCTTGCACATGACTCTCTCCAGTACACACCCACACTCCCTCCTTCTTGAATGTGTTCTTTTTGCTTTGCAACAAATCTCAGTATTTTCAGTATTTTCAAACTTGTCCTTGAATTCCTTCTTATGCAGGTGTCATGAGCCTAGACACCACCCAGGGTCGGGGTCCCACGGCATGTGGGGATCTTCCCTAGCCCACTGGTATCAGAATTAGCCAAGAAGCGCTGCTTGTGACAACCCCTGCTTCAAAGCAATCACAGGCCTGTGGAGTCCCAGCAGGAGAAAAATGCTCTTCAATGACTGCAGTGAGGGAAGGTCACGCTGTGCCTTCTACTGGGCCAGCACCCCTCAGCAGAGGGTGCCGGAGTAGGCAGTGAACCAAGATGGCGGCCATCACTTTCTTCTCTGTCAGCTTTGGTGGCAGCTTCTGCTTCTTCCTCTTAGAAGCTAATTAAGAATTTTGACTCTTCTAGAAGCACCATGTTGTGAGAATGTCCAAGTGCGGGATGACCAACCCGTCTTGGGTTGCCAAAATTTCCCCGGTTTTAGTACCAAAAGGCCTACATCCCAGGAAAGCCTACAATCTTTGACAAACGAGGGTGACTGGATCACTCTACAAGCTTGGTCCATGAGCAGTCCCCGAGCAGAATGGGGTGGAAACCTGGCAAGCCTCCCATTGTTTAAGCCATCCCCGTGGAGGTAGGAGGTGCCAGACACATGAGTAAAGCAACTATCTAGAATATTCATGCCCCAGCAGAACACAGCCCAGACTGCAGAATACTGATAAATAATGAGTTGATTTTACTTTAAGCCACTGTGTGTGTGTGTGTGTGTGTGTGTGTTGGTGGTGGTGGTGGTGGCAGCAGTGGCACATCTAGAGTGGCTACTGACAAGACACCGGCTAGAGCAGGGAGGTGGCCCCAGGACTCAAGGACAAGCAGAAACCCCGTAGTTTCTGAGTTGCGAAAGGCAGGAGCCCCTAGGTTCAGCTGCAGCTGCCCAAGTCCAGCTGCAGACCTGGGCATGTCTGTGCTCTTGAGGCCTCGGAAGGCCTCCCTCCCTGCCCCAGGCTTTGAGATGCCTGTTCACACTGCCTGGCCTTTCCCCACTCCTGGCGCCTGCTCTGACCATCCAGCAAGGTTGGGACAGAGCCTGGAGCTGTCACAACCCTGCTGGGTGTGTGCATGCTCAGGCCAGCTGTAATACTCTGGAACCTATTGCTTTGGCCTCCTCCCATCTTTGGGCATCAAGGACCATTGGGAGGGAGGACAAGGGGTTGCTGAGGATGAGGGGCTGCTGAAGACAGCTCAGCACTGGCCCGCAGGAGCCCCTTGGCATGAAGAGCCTGGGCCTTGAAGGGTGGTGGGAGGCAGACAGCCTCCTGGGCAGAAGGGGGTGTGTCCGAGGTGAAGCCCCGCCTTCAGGCTGGGGAGGGCCTGAGGCCTCTGGCTGGCCTGCCCGTCCTGCAGACCAGAGAGCGGGAGCTTGTACTTGTTCCTGGGCCCACCCACGACTGCTCATGGACAAATAAGCACACATTTCCCTCCTCTGAAAACCATAAAATCCCAGCTGCACAAAGGAGCTCTCCTCTCTGCTGAGAGCTGGGAAGACTACCAGATGACCAGCTGCAGAGAGGAGCTGCCTTCTCCGCTGGGAGCTGCACACTCTGGACAAACTGCCTGCAGAGGAGCTAACCACCACGGGGTTTCTCTGAGCTGTTCTAACACTCAGTGAAGCTCCTGTTCATCTTGCTCCCCCTCCACTTGTCTGTGTACCTCATTCTTTCCAGATGCGGGACAAGAACTTGGGCAAAGGTGCCACCAGCTGTCGAGGTTTCCAGCCAGAAGAGCAACACCCCAGAGATCCCATAACACTCAGGTAGGGAAGGCTGGCGTCGGCAATATGGTAGAAACAATGCTCTGTGCCTAGAACCTTGTCATCCGCAGTCCCAAATACAATTTAGTATACAAATCTCACCAGGCAGGGAGTTCCCCCTTGTCTCAGCCACATACCTTTTGCATTTTAGGATCCTTTTGAAATGCACAGTTTTCATCTTCTGAAATTTTCTTGCAAATTGTTCGGGCAATTTTGACCTCAATATAGTACTCCAAGCTGTCTGTCACCTGTCAATGAGTAATGTGAAAATCATGTATCACTAAAGAATATATAATATCAACTGTCATCTCCAGCAAATAAATAGGTCATTGAGTACTCAGGGCTAGGAATGTCTTTCTGCCTTCTCCCTCTTCAACTGTTTTCTGTCCAGAAGTTTTTGGGTAATTTGGAAGGTTCCTTGCCTTGATATCTCGGTCTCTCTCTCATCATAGTATTTAATTTTAAAGTAATGGCAACTGTCTCCAAAATAAAGCAAGGAAACAATTCTCCCAAAAGTATTTTCCTGGGGAAGCTAATAGTTTGCTTATTCGAGCTTGGGAAACAGCAGTGCAAGGTTCTTTGGACTGAATGCACCATGGACTACACCATAATCAAGCCATGGTGACCCCATGACCCACACGTATACCTCCACATGGTCCCCCGGAGCCAGAAAATATTAGATAACAAGAAAACTGCAAAAGGAAAAGATTAGCTAGCTCCTGCAGTGCCTGATTAACCAACCTTGCAACATTCCACCATTGTTCTACCTCAGCTGATAAGTCAACCTTGTGACACTGGACCCTGTGATCTGATTAACCGACCTGGCAAAATTCTACCATTTTTCTTGCCTCAACTGATGAGTCAACCTTGTGACATTGGACACTGTGACACCACGACCCCCTTTCCATTACCTACCCCCAACCTATAAAACCAGGTCCTATTCCACCACCGTCTGCTAAATCTCTCTTTTTGGACTCAGCCCACTCACACCTGGATGAATAAATAGCCTTGTTGCTCACACAAAGCCTCTTTAGGTGGTCTCTTCATTCAGAGTGTGGTTAACAATCAGTGCTTACAGCATCTTCACACCTAATCAATAGATATTGAGGAAATAAAACTATGACCCAGAACTAGAACTTGCTCAGTGTGTATTTCTACTGATGCTCTCTAAAATATCCTATTCTTTGCCAATCTTAGTATCCACACCCTATTGAAATGCAGATTCCTCCAACATTTCTGCATCTGGGGGCATTCTACCAGCCAGAAAGCCCCTAGCAGCCCTTCCGTTCAAGGAGAGCCTCTTGGGGAAATGGAGCAGTTCAATGGCAAAGGGACGTTATTGAAAAATCAACAAGAAAACAAGGTTTACAAGACTTGAGGGGAGAGAACATTTTAAAGAACTGACAAAATCCTTACAATTATTTTTAGAAATTCTAGGGAAGTTTCCTAGGCATTGAACAAAAGGAATGTGTTATGCAGAATTCTAAGAGGCCCCCAGGAGTCCTGCTCCATGTTGTGGATGCCCTGTGAGACCCACAGGACTACGAACAGGATGGATTTGAATTCTGTGATTAGGCTATCCTCTAGGGCAGAGCTGAATTCAAACATGGGGAGATTGACTTGGCTGACCCGATCTACTCACATGAGCCCTTTAAATCTTAGGTTAGAGGTCAGAGAGAGACGTGCACACCCTTGGATTCAGCAATTTCACTTTTGGATGTATACCTAACTTCAAAGGCACACACATGTACAAACAGAGACACACCTCATTTTGTTGTGCTTGGAATTATCATGCTTCACAGATACCGTGTTCTTTACAAGTGGAAGGTTTATGGCCACTTCGAGTCAAGCACCATGTCCCAATATCAGTGCCATGTGTCCAACAAGCATGTGCACATCTCCTCTCTCTGTGTCACATTTTGGCAAGTCTCACAATGTTTCAAACTTTTTAATTTTCATTACATCTCTATGGTACTTCGCGATGAGTAGTCTTTGATGTTAATATGTATGTAATTGTTTTGAAGCACTATGAACCATGGCCATATAAGTCGGTGAACTTAAATCTATAAATGTGTGTGCTCCCCATCTCTCTCCTCTCCTTGGGCTTCCATATTCTCTGAGACACAGTAATACTGAAATAAGGCCAATAACAACCCTCCTGTTGCCTCGTTGTAAAGTGAAAAGTAGAGTTATCCATATCTCACTTTAAATGAAAAACTAGAAATGATTAAGCTTACTGAGGAAGGCATGTTGAAATCCAAGATAGGCTGAAAGCTAGAACTCTTGCACCAAACAGTTAACAAAGCTATGAATGCCAAGAAAGAGTTCTTGGAAAAAAATTAAACTTGCTACTCTAGTGAACCCATAAATTATAAGAAAGCAAAACAGCCTTATTGGTGATATAGAGAAAGTTTTAATGGTCTGGATAGAAGATCGAACTAGCCACAACATTCCCTTAAGCCAAGTCTAGTTGTCTGTCTAGTCCAGAGCAAGGCCCTAACTAGCCTTAATTCTATGAAGGCTGAGGGAGGAGAGGAAGCTGTAGAAGAAAAGTTGGAATTTAGCAGAGACTGGTTCATGAGGTTTAACAAAAGAAGGCATCCCCATAACGTGAAAGCACAAGGTGAAGCAGGAAGTGCTCATGTAGAAGCTGCAACAAGTTATCCCAAAAACGCAGCTAAAATCAGTGATGGAGGTGAGTACACAACAGGAGATTTTCAACGTAGATCGAACAGCCTTCTGTTGGAAGAAGATTCCATCTAGTATTTTCATAACTAGAGAGTAGTCAATGTCTGTCTTTAAAGCTTCAAACAACAGGTTAACTCTCTTGTTAGGGGCTAATGCAGCTAGTCATTTTAAGTTGGAGCCAATGTTCATTCACTATTCTGAAAATCCTAAGGTACTTAAGAATTACGCTAAATGTACTCTACGTATGAGAAAACAACAAATCCTGGATGCAAGTATTTCTGTTTACAGCATGATTTACTGAATATATTAAGCCTACTACTGAGACATAATGCTACAAAAAAAAAAAAAAAAAAAAAAGCATATGCACAATTCCCTTCAAAGTATTGCTGCTCATTGACAATGCACCTGGTCACCCAAGCGCTCCAGTGGAAATATACAAGGATTTATATTGTGTCCATGTCTGCTAATACAGCATCCTTCTGTAGGAGTAATTTCAACTTTCAAGTGTTGTTATTTAGGGAAAACATTTTGTAAGGCTGTAACTTCCATAAAGAGTGATTCCTCTGATAGATCTGGGCAAAATAAATTGAAAACCTTCTGGAAAGGATTCACTATTCTAGATGCCATTCTGAATATTTGTGATTCATAGGAGGAGATCAAAGTATCAACATTAAAAGAAATTTGGAAGAATTTGATCCAACCATTATGAATGACTTTGAGGGACTCAAGACTTCAGTGGAGGAAGTAATTGTAGATGTGGTAGAAACAGCAAGACAACCAGAATTAGAAGCGGAGCCTGAAAATGTGACTGATTGCTGCCATCTCATAATAAAACTTGAATAGATAAGGAGCTGTTTCTTAGAGATGAGCAAAGAAAATGGCTTGTTGAGATGGAATTGATTTCTGGTGAAAACGTTGTGAATATTGTTGAAATGACAACAAAGGATTTAGACTATTATACAAACTGAGTTGATAAAGCAGCTGTAAGGTTTGAGAGGGTTGACTACAGTTTTTTAAAAAGTTCTACTGTGGGTAAAATGCCATAAAACACCATCATGTTACATATAGTGAACCCCAATTTTCTCTTCCAAGAATTGGTATGTCAGTATGTTCAGCTCTCTTATCCTTTAATTCTCAATTTTAAAGTTTAACTTCCCTCTAGTTCCAGTAAACAACCTTCTCCACCAGTTCTAACCAGTAGTTCACATCTGTTCCCCTGGCCCCCGGCTCCGGCTCCATCCTGACTTATCCTGGTCACCTGCTTCAGTTACCTGCTCCAGTCACCTTTAACCTAGGCCACCCCTGGCTACCTGCTCTGACCTGCCCACAACTGTCCTCCCCACCAAACCACCCACCCTGTCACTCCAGCTCAGACCCCTACTCTCTTTAAAATAGCCAATCAAGATTAGTCTAGCTTATGTGGTCTAACCCTAGCCAATAGGGGAACAACACAGCAGTAGGGATGACCCCCGACAGCCATAAGTACCTCTTCCCCTCCTTGTCCAGGCGTCCACTTGCCATTTGTCCATCGGCAAGCTGCACCCTTCTATGGAAGTAAATTGTCTTGCTGAGGAAATTTATACTGTAGTGCTGCTGCTTTTGCAGCATCGAAAATTCTGCTTACAACAATCCCGTGCTACAGGAATTAAGTCAATCAAGGTGGCAAACCTCACTGTTCCCTTATTTTAAGAAACTGCCATCATCTCCTCAACCTTCAGCAGCCACGACCCTGCTCAGTCAGCAGCCACTAACATCGAGGCAAGATTCTGCACCAGCAAAAGATTACAATTGGCATAAGGTTTAGATATCATTCACATTTTTAACAATAAGGTATTTTTAACTAAAGTATATATTTTTGGATTTAGTGCTATTGCACACTTAATAGACTCCAGTATAGTATAAACATAACTTTAATGACACTGGGAGTCCAAACTATGTGTGTGGCTCACTTTAGTGTGACATTCACTGTATTGCAGCCTTCTGGAACTGAAAGCACAGTATCCACAAGGTATGATTGTGTGTGCACACTGTCACTACTTGTTCAGTCAAAGCCAGAAACAACCCAAATACGAACCAACAACAGCAAGATAAATACATGGTGGTGTGCTTATACAATGAAATACTCTGCAGCAATAAGAACAAACATCCTTTTTTCTTCTTTCAGATTCCACACATAAATGAGATCATGCAGTATTTTTCTTTCTGTGTCTGGTCATTTCACTTCATATAAAAAGTGAGGTGGGTCAAGAAAGAAATGGGGAGATACAGGTCAAAGGATAAAAAGTCACAGATATATAGGACAAACAAGTCTAGGGTTCCTATGTACAATGTGAGGACAAAGTCGAGATTATTGTACCGTATTTGGGATTTTTAGTAAAAGAGCAGATTTTGGAGATCTTGATCCCTGTAAAAAGGTAACAATGTGTAATGATGGATATGTTAATTCACTCGGCTACAGTAACCATTTCACTATCTACAGGTATATAAAAATATCATGTTGTATACTTTAAATACATAAATTATTTTAAAAAACATTTGATCCTGTAAAAACAAAAGGAAC